CTTGAATTCAGCCTAAAGCATGACATCATAAGTTCAAAATCGCCTCTCAGCAAGTGATAATCATCATAAACTGCGAAAAATCGGTTAAATGGGTCATTAGCGACCCACTAGGACCACAAAATTGATTAATTAAATATAATGTTGTCAAACTTTTACAAATATTAGTATAAAAACATGTTATATCTTGGTCATTACTCCTGTACGTTGATTTAACTTTTAAAATCGATCAACTGGGTCAATAACGACCCACTCGGAAGTTGAACCACCTCATCAATTATTATCAGTATCATGCTGTTCCACCATCAAGAAAGACACTCGTAGGTCTTAATTCCACGCAAACCACGGGTGGCTGACTACTAGCCCTTCTGAGATCCAGGGCCAACTGAAGGGCCGTCATCACTCATCAAAGAGCTGCGAGAATAACACTACTGCATATGCCTGGAGTTGCGTCCTGACTATAATACTATGGTGCGTGGAAATCTGTACCGAAAGGACCGTGGCCGTGCCGCAAAAGAAAAGGAATCGGCCCTCGTTCCTAACTTGCTAGGTAATAGCCATGCTGTTGTTGTTGCTTATTAGATTCTGTTACCTTTTTCGTCAATTTCGAATCTTGGTAAACGACCTGCTACAACCCACCGCTTGAGACCCAGGGTCCCACGGTGATCAGATCATGTCACTCAAGAAAAATCCCCTGAACGAAGTATACGAGATATCATGTAACCTTGGGTAAATACTGAAAGACGAGTGGTCAAATTGCATATTCTAATCCAACATGCCAAGATGTTTTTTTCATTCCTAGAAAGTACGAGAATAACTAAACAACTGCTGCATTCAGATGGCTACATCTACAGCTCTGTGAAGGAGGACAAGGAAAAAGCCCCCCCCCCCCCCCCATTTGGCTGGCGGTGCTGCAACCTGCAATCTCTCAGACAACTACCTCGTTTTGGGTAACAAACCCCGCAACAACGAGGCAGCTTTCAAAACGAAAACAAGTATTACGTAATCGGCCGAGAGGGAGGGGAGTTTCCAAATGATTAAGCTTGTGTAATTTTGACATAATAGCTATGTGGTGGGGGGGGGGGGGTGGCGTAAAAATTGTCCAATAAGTGATTACGTAATATATGAACGGCCCCTAAGAAGTAAAGAAAGGGAGCTGCGAAGAGAGTAGATGCAGCCATCTGAAATCTGAATCCAGCAGTTGTATAGGTAGTTCTTTTTGGACGTTCTAGGAATCGGGAAAAGATAGGCATGTTGTTTGCTGTCTCACGACATTACGGTCGTGTACTAACAGCTGATAAACTCACCTACCTATCAATCCAACCCATTATTCGTCAGTCATTGGGTGACGTGATCTGCAGATTACCGTGAGACTCCAGATCTCAGAAGGGCTAGTAGTCAGCCACCCGTGGTTTGCGTGGAATTAAGACCTACGAGTGTCTTTCTTGATGGTAGAACAACATGATACTGATAATTAATGTCGTGGTTCAACTTCCGAGTGGGTCGTTATTGACCCAGTTGATCGATTTTAAAATTTAAATCAACGTACAGGAGTAATGACCAAGATATAACATGTTTTTATACTAATATTTGTAAAAGTTTGACAACATTATATTTAATTAATCAATTTTGTGGTCTTAGTGGGTCGCTAATGACCCATTTAACCGATTTTTCGCAGTTTATGATGATTATCACTTGCTGAGAGGCGATTTTGAACTTATGATGTCATGCTTTAGGCTGAATTCAAGAAGTTACATGGACATATGTAGTAATAAGCAAGTGAGCCGAGTGGGTCGTTAATGACCCAAATTCTTTATTTTTAAAAAGTTAGAGTCACACAGTATTGACCATATGTTTTTAACTTATGCTTTTTATTTTATTTTATCCTAACGTCTTTGTTTCAGAAGTTAAAGCCGAAAAACCGTGATGGGTCGTTTGCGACCCGGACGAGTGGGTCGTATGCGACCATAGCTGTATCTTTTAAAGTAAACGAGATACAGATTAGCTTTTTTGGATATCTCATTTTTGCTGTAAAGTGACCTAGTGTGTTAAACGGCATCAAAATCGGCAAACTTTAAAACTCGTCGTCCCTAATGGGTTAACGTTTGGCCGTAATGTACAAGATAAGTCTACCCTAATGTCTTCAGGATTAGTCTACCCTAATGTCTACGCTTAGTCTTAGTGGCCAGGCTTCTTGGATACTACCCATCATTATACTCTTCTGTCTGCAGTTTAATTTCACAGTATTTCATGTATTGGTGACGGACTGTAAATCTTTAAATAGCGGATTTAAATTTCAGCACCGCTGATAATATACTTTACAATCCAGATCTATTTGAGTAAAACTTGTAGTGTACATGATTAGTAACGTGAGATTAATCCCGGTCATGTCCTCATCTAAACAAAATGTTTAGTTCTTTTTGTTGTTTAATGAACCTCTCACCACCTGCTCTCTCACCAGCTTGCACCAGGCTCTGTTAGTAGTGCTCAGTTATATTAGTGCTCGGTTAGTGCTATTTTAGTAAGGTCTGGTTGAGAGGTAACCAGGTAACCAGGTAACCAGGTAACCAGGTAACCAGGTAACCAGGTAACCAGGTAACTCTCACCAGCTTGCACCAGGCTCTGTTAGTAGTGCTCAGTTAGTGCTATTTTAGTAAGGTGTGGTGTGCTAGGTGTGATGCACTGCGGTTATTTCAATCCTCACACCTTATCAGTTATCTCTCTTGTTATTTTCTCTAGTTCTTTTGATTTCTACATCTTGTGTTATTTTATCTTGTTCTTATAATTTCTACACCTTGTTATCACACCTACGTTAGTTCTTGTGAACTATTTCTTTTACGACTTCTCTTACACATACTTTTTTTTGTAACATAATTTTTTGTGTCCGTTTAATTTGTAACTCTTATTTGTTAGATAAATGCCTGCTTTTAGTATCTCTGGTTAGGTTTCTCAACTATTTGTTACAATGATAACGATCTGATTTATTCATTCTCAGTATTGTAATAAAGGGCAGCCGTCACTCACCAAACCATGGTGTAAATGGTAGTGGCTTTCATTAGAGCTGCGAAAATAACACGAGTGTATATGCCTGGGGTTGCGTCCCGACTAAACTGCAGGGAAATCTGTACCGAACGGACCGTGGCCGAAATGCAATTAGACAGGGAAATCGGCTCCCGACTGCGGTCGACCAAATTATTATTATTATTATTTTAATATGTTATCTGACTGCTCCTCTATTATAACAGTAGCTGACAATGATAGACAGAGCAGAGGAGCCGGTGTGGTTAGTGCTAGCAGGAGTAAACGTGGTGGTAGGAGTAGTAACAATCCTCTTCAACCTCCTCGTCCTACAATACTACAAACCACGTACCAAACAACCCACTACCCACTTCCTCTTCTTCCTCCTCGCTCTGAGTGACGTCATGTCGGGGGTCTCAGCTCTGCTGCACTGTGGAGTTCTTATCATCTACTATCAGGACTCCAGTACGGATCAGCACCCCACTGATTCCCCTCTCACATCCACTCCTCCCACCACTACTGGGAGCAGCACTGAGACCAGGGAGACTGTGCTGGGTTGGAGGGCAGTGTTTTGTCTGGTCACCTACTTCGTAACTCAGTTCAGTAAACATCTCTCAGTGTTTATGAACCTGATACTCTCCTTCATCAGGACATACCTCGTCATCTCCCCCTCCCACTCTGTAAAGAGACTGGTGGTGACGCTTACTGTGGGGGTTTTCTCTCTTCTCACTGCTCTATTCCTCTGTGTTGTGCTGGCTTACTTCGTGCAGATTCTCCTCCAGGATCCTGGCGAAAGTATTTATCTTATCTTCTCCATGTGTTTTAACAAGATATTTGAAGCGTACGTAGCTGTGTTGGAGCACCTTCACACCAGAGTTGATGACAAAGTGATAAACACCATCCTGATAATAGTCCCTTACGTGCTCCCCTCAGCTCTGTGCCTGCTCTGCTGTTGTGTGTTCGTTTGGAGTCTGTACACTAAACCAGCTCTGTCATGCAGAGTGGAGAAACGAAACAGGCACATTCTGGGCACAGTCCTCATCCTCACCGTCCTGTTCATAGTGTCCTGCTCGGCTCTGATAGTAGTGTGGGTATATTACGACCTGTACCCGGGGGGTCCTAGTACCCTGAGAACTGCAGCGTATGTTCAGTACACCTTCTACAACCTCCTCCCCATCCTCAACAGTGCGCTTAACCCTATGGTGCTCATTCTGAGAGGCAAGACTCTCCGTAACTATGTGACGAGTGTCTGGACGAGGTCTCACTCTGGTCACAGTCACAGTACTAGGACAAAGGGTCCTGACAATTTGCAGGCCAGTTAGTAGAAGTTAGAAGACAAACTACCCACCTGTCTGGACCACTACCAGTACCCACAGCTGCCTTACTTTTCTCAACAGCAGCGCAACTGATCGTGTTAAATTAACTCTCAATGTCTGGAAAACTGGTTACCCTGGTTACTGTATTTAACAGACTGGGTTACCTAAGTTACTGTAGGGCCCTTCCGACAGGTGTAAATTAATTCCTTCTAAGTGTATTTCTCAGCTGTAGTGTTGCACTCCTAATTACTTAAGCTTATTTTGTTATTCATCTTCTTTAAATGAAACGTTAACAATTAATGTCAAGCGATACTCAAAGTTTCAATAAGTAATAAATAATCATGCTCTCAAAAACGCTTTAGCGTACCTGTGATTTGTTGTAATATTTTGTAATTTTGTAAAGTTTCATTTCCAATATAAAATCCTGTCTTGAATTTACTTTACACTCGGTACTGAAACCAATGACGGCATTGGTCATCTATCAAAAATATAAATTGCTATGGATCATTTAGGCGGACTTCACTCTTTACCCTTCAAGTTCAACAACTCTAAACCAATGAGAGGGAATAGTTGTCTACAAATATGACAGAGGATACCGCAGATAGCTGCAAATATGACAGGTAGACAGTTGCTATCTTCAACCTTGACTCTGACCCAATATAACCTCAGGTACACACAGAGAAGCAGCGTCACGACATGAACAGGACCGGACCACTGGTGACAGGACCTCTTGTCACCGACACTATTCAAGAGGTTTGCGGCCTTATACACTTTTTCTGTGAATCGACAAGAATTGCGGTCTTATTTCTAGAGTCTTCTCTCTTTGGTCGACTTTTAGGCCAAACAATCGGCGATAATGTAAGAAAAAAAAGAGGCGATATTTAGCATACCCTTTCACGCCGCACTGCATCATTTCTAGTTTAAATAGAAACGAAGTATAACCAATAAACCTGGGGCAAAATGACATTTATTTGAAATTTAATTGAAAATATGACACTCAAATATGACATTTCAAAGATGACATTTCAAAAACGACATTTTATCAAAAGAATTAAATAAAAAGAATTTGCCATATTTTGAACTACAGCCATTATACATTATATGTATCTATTTGAAAATATGACATTTAAGAATGAATTTTAAGAATGAAATTCAAAGATGACATGTAGAAATGGTATTTAAAAATGACATTTAATTGAAAATAAAAGAAATGAATAAAAATATTTTCCAAATTTTTAACTACAGCTATTATATTTGTCCCGATGAATTTTCTAGTGTGTTTTTATACAGAATGCAGACTGTAAAAAACTTGCTCGTGGTAAGCACTTCCCCGATCCCCTAAAAACAACCGAGTATGATACCTTATATTTACTATATTATTGCTAGCTATCTGCTATATTATAGCTATCTGCTATATTATCATAATAGGCTATCCAACATAGGCATGTAGCCGTGTAATTGTCTGTCCTATAAGTACCCTCTCAATGTTTGTGAGTCCTCTTCAATAATCAGAAATGTGTAAATAGTTTAACCAACGACATGTTGTCCAGTAAAGCCCAAATCCTCCGCATAACATCCACCCACTTACTTTAACAGCCTTGTTTAATAATCTAGTATACCAGGTAAATTATATAACGATACAATAACAAACTCACAGGAATTAACAAAACCCAGTGTAGTAAGTGTACCAACACTTACAGGATAGATTTTCAGATTCCCGCCGACTCGTCTCAGACGGGCTCAGTTACTAGACAGCGTTACTTTTCCCTGGCCACTCCTCGGCCCCGACCGCATCACAAAATAAGCGTGGGCAGTGTCAAGAGGATGTCCCTGATGGTCAGTAGGGTTGGTGTGTACCTTGGTTAAATTGCCGAAGGGTCTTGCTCTGGGTGACAGGGACAAAAGGAAATCGCGGCATGAACGGAATCGCGATTTTTCCCATTATTTGCGACAAATTTTATGTATAGTTTAATGTATAGTCTGTTAAAAATCGCGGTATCGTGATTTTTGGCCAAAATAATCGCGAAATCCTTTTGTCCCTGCTGGGTGATAACACTATAAACTATCATGTGTTGCTCTTTAGGGGATTAGCGCTCTCTCTCTCTATATCGCTCTGATATTATTCTCTGGGTGCTGCGCGCACTTTTCAGTTTAAACAGTGCTGCTCTCACTATGTACAATTGTCCGTGATGTTAGAGTGAATAATTTATGTTTATATGCACGTGCATAATTTGAGTAGTTTATCACCAAACAATGGTATTGTTTTACTGCACGTGCAAATATACTGATTTATTGCACGAGCAAATAAAATTGATTTATTGCACGTGCAATAAATGACTGTTTGATAGTTTTTGGCATGAAGGCTGTTTTGAGATGAAAGTGTCAGCTTCTTAATATCAGGGATCCTTATCGTGGAAAACGATCGTTTAAATTAGTGAAAATTTACAAAAGGGGTTATTTGTTCTAGATCCGGTGTTCCCATGTGTTTTGCTGGTTGGGCGTGTTGCCATGGTAACTTGTATTCACTCTGCTGAAAATCTTTCTTATTAAGATGTCTTTCCGAATTGCTCTCAATATAAATATAACTATGGGTCGCACATAACGACAACCATGACTTACACAGATGGGCTAAAAGTACTCCACTGATTAGGCATTATATATGAGGAATCATTGTACCCGGGACTGTGCCTATTCGAAAGCAGTTCTGACGAGTCAATGGAGGGATTTACAGGTTCCTACGTGGAAAACTTCAGTGTTGTGTACAAATGAAAGATTCCCTGAGTGAAATTTTCATTCAACGAGATGCGGGCCATTTTCGTCAAAGCTTCTATAATATTTTGCTATTGAGTAATAGCTATTATCTGACTGATAACTCGTTATCTGATATTGATGATATGTAAAATATTACTCAAAACTCAAGTGTAAACAAAAATCACCGCAATTCGTACGCTTTATATTCTTCGCTCTGGCACGTGCACAAATCAATTTTTGTTGACTCGCCCACGTGCAGAAGGAAGTTAAAGTATGCACGTGGTGCGCGGAACTAACTTGCACGTGGTGCGCGGAGCTAACTTGCACGTGTTGCAGGAAAGTTTGCAAGACCCACTGGCCGGGAACGACCACCACATGGTGATGAGACTATGTAAAACACCCAGCTTTAAAAGGAAAGTTATCAAACAGCACTCCCGGCAGTCCACTTGTCCTCCTGTGGTAGTCAGGTTGGATTCTAGTCCAAATAAGTGCTCCCCCGGCGCTGGCAGCACCCTTCTGGTGAGCCTCTGCAGTTTCAGCATCTACTTCAGCACTTTGTCGGGAGTTTTATAAGTGTTACCATGGCAACGTCTAGTGCACCCGCCTGGGTTACTTAGATTAAGATATTACACTCAGTTTTACTATGAGAAACATCCAGCTAGTTTCTAAACCATTTTCTTGATTTTGATCTACGTATCAAGACAATATTTTTATAGCTGGAAGATAGGTGCTGATTGGTATTGTTGAAAGAAAACGGAATCATATTGGGGACTGGGAATAGTCCATTTCAACTGCAAGGTTTCTTCATTTCTACTAAGTTAAGGCTAGGTTTCTGAAATTTGTATAAACTCCAAGCACCGTTTTCTAACCTGCATAAAATGTAGACTTAGTTTCTTTGAGCGAGTTCCATATAAAAACTGAGTGTACTCTATAAGTACTCTATTGTGCATGTCAATTAGCAATTTCAAACTGCATGAGTTTCGCACATATAAAAATGTTAAACGCCTAAAGACTCAATTAATAATAACCGAAATTGAATGCTGATCGAGCTCAACAGAAGCAAAATGAGCTCAGTAAACGATAACCAGGCACAAACCGAGTGTAAGACCATGGTTATTTCCGACTAAGACCCCGCTGTGTCTGTCACCACTCTCACCAGACTTAATCGACTAACGAGTCTCCCTTATACTGAGCGGAAAACGGTGCGCTGATTATTGTTAGCCTATTACTCGGCTGACAAACTTTTAAGGGTTAATCATCACAGTGATTCTCAAGAATAAGAAATGATTGGGGAGCCCGGGAGCTCGCTGGCCTGAAGTTTTAAGAAAAGTCTGATTAGGTTGACTCGACACTGTCAAGCTAAGGCCGCTGTGATCTGCGTTACCATGGTTACTGAATGCTGTTATACCCTGGGTCTCTACTATACTATAGTGCACTTCAGCTAAACAGACAACTGCAAGCTTGATCTTCCACTGTGTTACTGATTATTGCGTTATCATGGCAACCTATTGCTGCGTTACCTTGGTAGCTGACTGCTGCCTTACCATGGTAACTGATTGCTGCGTTACCATGGTAACTGATTGCTGCCTTGTAAGCACTGAATTCTACCCTGGTGTGGTCCGCATGATCTCTGTTACCATGGTTATTGACTTGTGAAGCACATTAGTAAATAGTTAATTTGATAATTAGCCAGTTAAGCAGTCAGATAGTTTTATTGCCCGATGATTTTGATTATCAAGGTTACTTATAGTGGTTATCTCTCAGACAGGCTCCTCAAACGAACTGATGAACAGGTCACATCCCAAGTGCGCTAAAGACAGTGCTGATGCTAAAACAGAGACCATCAAATACTACCACAGCATTCCTGAAATTCAGGTTATTTAAATTCTTGAACATTTCATTAAATTTTAATTAAACTGACTGGTTTGTTAGCCATGTCATATTTGATAGTGTGTAACATATTGTGTAACATATTGTGTAACATATTGTGTAACATATTGTGTAACATATTGTGTAACATATTGTGTAACATATTGTGTAACATATTGTGTAACATATTGTGTAACATATTGTGTAACATATTGTGTAACATATTGTGTAACATATTGTGTAACATATTGTGTAACATATTGTGTAACATATTGTGTAACATATTGTGTAACATATTGTGTAGCATATCGTGTAACATATTGTGTAACATGTGTAACATTAAGGCCAGTACGGAGAAGTTGTCGTGTTCCCTGCACGCGGGGGCAGATCTGAGCACAGTTCCTATAAAAGACAGTGTCACTGGAGTCATCCTCACTCGTATAGACCAGCTCTCCCCAATCAACCAGATGGTACTGAAGTCAGCTAGTGTGCTAGGGCGGAAGTTCCACTACGAAACTTTACAGGTTATTTTATAACACTTCACTAGCCTCGTGATTATGCTTTACATGATTATAGGCTACGAATGTTTATGAATCATAGTGTTTAAGTTTTACTGTGCACAATTTCCATTAGGCTATTCTCTCGATCGTATACATATTTGATAAACATGCTGTCTAAGCTCTGTCGTTTGTAAGCAGCTGATCGGCTTCTTTATGTTCGAATTCAGAATTGCTTTACCCACTGCAGGCGATAACCCCCAACATTCGAGAAGCTTCACTTGAGAAAGCTCTGACGGAGTTGTTAGCAGCTAAGATAATAGAGCGGTGCCAGGAGGACCGGCTGAGTGTGGCCTTCTTCAGGAACAGGAGACAAGACAGTCTCCCCCAACTTAGGGGCCAGAAGATGTCATACACGTGAGTAGTAATTGCTAAATGTAGTCATAACTTTAGTCATAGATTTTATTTACATACCACGTGCATACTTTTGACGAAACTACAAATCACGTGCACAATTGCACATTGTAGTCAGTGGTCGAAGAAAATTCTTAATAACGTGTTTCAAAAAAATGTGTTAATCTGATGATGTTGTTTCAGGTTTACACACTCAATCCTACAAGAGACTACCTACGGTATATTGTGTGCAGACCAGAGACGAGTCCTGCACGAGGGAGCCGCAGAACACCTTCAACTCAGGTTACCTAGCAACCCACCATTACCTTTATTCTTATCTTATTAATGTTACCTAGCAACCCGCTCTTATCTTCATTCTTATCTTATTAATGTTACCTAGCGACCCGCTCTTATCTTCATTCTTATCTTATTAATTTTACTTAGCAACCCACCATTACCTTTATTCTTATCTTATTTATGTTACCTAGCAACCCGCTCTTATATTCATTCTTATCTTATTAATGTTACTTAGCAACCCACCATTACCTTTATTCTTATCTTATTAATGTTACCTAGCAACCCGCTCTTATCTTCATTCTTATCTTATTAATGTTACTTAGCAACCCACCATTACCTTTATTCTTATCTTATTAATGTTACCTAGCAACCCGCTCTTATCTTCATTCTTATCTTAATAATGTTACCTAACAAACCGCCATTATCTACATTAAATGTTACTTAGCAACCCGCCAGTATCTTCATTCTTATCTTATTAATGTTATCTAGCAACCCACCATTACCCTGGTTACCTATCAATGCACATCAAAACACAAATGGTTGATAAAAATATAGCAACAATTGAGAGTAAAATAGTTCGTATCACAAATCCAAAATAATTTATTTGTCAGAAAGACCTGTATGTGTTAAATATAGTAATGTAAGTTTAGTCTAGCTTCACACAGTAGTGCACTTGATCAGAGAGTCGGGGCCGACAGCTGATGAGAGGGGGTCCTCTGTTGGAGCACGTGCAGGTAGCCTGGGAGGAGTCCGTGACAATCCGGGAAGAATGGAAGGAGGGTCCAGCAGAGGGGAAGTAGGGTCAGGCTGAGGAGAAGTAGGGTTGGAAAGAACGGACTTAGGACCACCGAACAGAGTGGAAACAAGGTCGCCCACAGTTGAAGTAGGAGCACTTGGAGGAGCACTTAGAGCAGGGGTGGTTATGGCCTCGGATCCACTATGGGAATCACCCGGTCTGGGTGAGGGGAGTATGAACTCTCCAGCGTGAGCTTCAGAGTAGACTATTGGGGGGAATGGAAGTCCGGAGCTGCCTTCTATTTTAAACTTAACAGCACTGAGCAACTTGTTACCGTAAGTGCAGCACGAGAACAGTAGGGTAATGCCCAGAAACATCACTATCATTGGTGTCCAGTCAATTGCTGGACCTCCAGCACCTGAATCCTTATCTGTACTGTTACTTCTGAAATAAAGAGGTATAACGAGGTGTGAGGTAAAATGATGGGTATCTAAAGTTTATACAGAGGTAGAGCTGGATGCGAGCAAGAATGAGGGGTAAGAATAAAGTTTAATAATGAGGGGTACGAATAAAGGGTAATAATGAGGGGTAAGAATAAAGTTTAATAATGAGGGGTTTCTAACTTTTCTATAAAAGTAAAGCTGGACATCTCCTTCCTTGATGCTTCGGCTGGAACAGTTAACAAAACCACCGCCAAACACAATATCATTTTTAACTGCATCCTGAAAATACAGCTGTTAACTGTCGTGCAAAGTGTTTGACTAAGAGTTAGTTAATGTTACTAAAGAGTTAGTAGATAAACTGAACTGAAGTCCACATCTCAACCTTATCAAGTGTTCGATTCAGTGGTCGACCGGGGCCCCCAAAATCACAACCCCCGGCCCTTCCCGGGCCCGGCCAAAATTTGGCAAATCGCCGGGAGTAAACCCCTGCCAATAAATTTAACCCCGGCCCCGGCCAAAAACCATGCATTTGCCGGGGGCACAGCCGGGGATTTCATGAACGATTTTGGCACATTTTTGAAAGAAATCAAACACAATTTAATGGTAATTATGAGATTTCAAAGTTGAAAAATATATTGTCTACGTTGAGTACGTTTAAATATAGAAAATACAACATACGGCTTAAATAAGACTACGGCTAGTAACATAAAAACCTTGGTTCTTCCTCAGTATGATCAGACTTTTCAATTAATCGTCTCCGGGAAATTTGCGATAAAACATACGTAGAAACTAGAAATTAAAAATACTGCACTGCAGCTAAAACTACGGCTCAACGTAAACTACAGAGCCTAACATTTATGGTAAATTTTTATGAACCGAGCCATATTTGGATGTGGGGTTACTTTTAAATCCCGAGGTCCAGATAAAGTAGCAGCTTGAGGATTAGAAATTAAGTATGGATCTCAGGATAATGAGGATTATCCTGAGTTGGTTCACAGCACGAAGTTGCGGTTTAATCCTCAAGTCGGTGAGGATAAGCCGACCTTGAGTTTATCCTTCCCGATTGCATCACACCAGCCTGAATTATTATCAAATTCATGTTTCAATTTCTGACTTCAGTTTGGTAAACTACCCCCTGCCCTGGCAAAATGGAAGATTTCCCGGCCCCGGCCCCGGCCAATTCTCAGTGGTCAGCCCCGGCACCGGCCCCGGCTATATTGGGGCTCCCCGGCCCCGGTCAGAATCCTGCCCCCGGTCGACCACTGGTTCAATTAAACTTCAGTATTTACACAATATTTCACAGTTGGAGTAAATGTTGATTAAGTATAAATACAGCTTAAGATAATGCACTAGCGCACTACAAAACAACATCTATGAGCGGCTATTTAACTTAACTGCTTATTGTAATGAGTGTGTGCCATTATGCCAGTTGCAAATGCGGGGAAGTTTTGAAATATTTATAACGGGTATAATATGTCCAGCATTTGTTCAGCAATACTTCTCAGTCTTTTCTGCCGTATAAATATACATTTTTATTTGGCTAATTACTTTAGGATATACATTTTACATTACGGTAGACATATGATATTTCCTCTCACTCACACTGGTTTCTACAGAATCTACAAATGTGGGGATAGTGGTTACCATGGCAACGATGAGTTGGTTGCTATGACAACACCGAGATTGTTGCCACGGTAACGTAGTGTTTTTACCGTGACAACATGGTGTTTTTACCACGGTAACAGTGTTTTTATCACGGTAAAACAGTGTTTATTACCATGGCAATAGTGTGCTAGTTACCACGGAAACACAGTGTCAGTTACCACGGAAACACAGTGTCAGTTACCACGGTAACACGATGTTTCTTAGGTTTCACAAGTGCGGAGAGTGCGGATGCGGAAAGTTCCTCCAGAACCCACTCGGACCTCGAAACCCCTCCTCGGGAGTTGCCTTTATTGGAGCCTCTCACGGCCTCAGTCTCCTGGGTCGCTCTCAGTTGGAAACTTTTGAAAGTAAGATAACACTTTACTGTACCACAATTATTTATTATAACCACCATTGTACCGTATTCTGTGTAAAATTATCTTTATCCCGGTTACTGCGACAAGTAAAAATGCTCTTATTAGGGAAAGGAGTTTACTCGACGTTTCAATGTAACTACATCGTATTCATGATCTAAAAACAAGTGTTAAAAATTAAAAACGTAAAAAACATATATCTGAGGCAAAATTGTACCAACTAACCAACTAACCGTATTTCCACCGACCAAGTTAAAACGGTGTAATTAGAGCCAATTAATGCCGCCTATACCGATATCAATCTTTAACCATGTCTACACCAATTTCCAATTCCATTCGCCCGAGAAATTTTCACTATTCTCGCCATCCGAAAACGCAAATATTTCTCGCTTTTGACATCATCATGAGTCATGACCAATTTCTCCGAGGAGCCTCAAAAATGGCGTTTATTTCCAAAGAATAATCCCTCAGGCGGAGGAGACAACTCAGAGCCAGCTGTATCGGAGGACGAGGACGAGATGATATGTGATATGACTCACAGTAACTCCGACAGAACAAGTATTATTATTAGTTAATTGATTGTTAATATCTTGTAACCACCAAGACCCAAGACAGATCTTGTCGCTTATTCAAAATAATTGGTGAGAGTGTTCGGTACCATAGTAACCCAGGTTTAATTGCAGGTGCAGGTAACAGTAACAATAAAAGAGTTACGATCGGTAAAACCACTGAGATGGAGTTCCCGTTTAATGGTCGTCGGACCACGTTGCTTGGGAAACCAAACTTTGCGGAGCTAGTCCCTCCACATAGAGCATGTCGACCTTCACTAGCTAGTGTTAAACTAGAAGCAAAGTTCCAGGTATTTTACCCTTGCTTGTTAGTGTTAAATTAGGAGCAAAGTTTCAGGTATTTTACCCCTACTTGTTACCTTCACTATCTAGTCAGCTAGTAACTTCAATTATGCCATATTATTTTACATTTATATATAATTGTTATACTATATCATATTTACATAATCCTTACAGAATCATCACACTGCGCATCTATCATTCTATCGGTTAAAACACAATGTCACAACTTCTTTCAGAGCACCAAATGTGAAGACAACTTTAAGACACTGATAAACTACAAGAAGAACTTGGAAACATCAGATACAACAGGAAACAAGTATTCAGAAACAGATACCAGACAACCAGACGATTACAACTCGGATCAAGACAGGTAACTCATCTCCCTCCCTCCTTCTCTCCTTCTCTCCTCGGCAAAACTTTCTCCTTTTCCACTCTGCTATTTCTCCTTCTGTACTGTTATTTTCTCCTCATCTCTTCCCATGCTCTGTCAAACTAAAACTATCTTCTTATCTTCTCGTCTCCCCTTCCTCCCCCTCCTCTCTTCCACTCTGTAAAGGTCTTCTCCTCCCCCTCCTCTCCCCTTCCTCCCCCTCCTCTCTTCCTCTCTGTAAAGGTCTTCTCCTCCCCCTCGTCTCCCCTTCCTCCCCCTCCTCTCTTCCTCTCTGTAAAGGTCTTCTCCTCCCCCTCGTCTCCCCTTCCTCCCCCTCCTCTCTTCCTCTCTGTAAAGGTCTTCTCCTCCCCCTCGTCTCCCCTTCCTCCCTCTCCTCTCTTCCTCTCTGTAAAGGTCTTCTCCTCCCCCTCGTCTCCCCTTCCTCCCTCTCCTCTCTTCCTCTCTGTAAAGGTCTTCTCCTCCCCCTCGTCTCCCCTTCCTCCCCCTCCTCTCTTCCTCTCTGTAAAGGTCTTCTCCTCCCCCTCGTCTCCCCTTCCTCCCCCTCCTCTCTTCCTCTCTTCCTCTCTGTAAAGGTCTTCTCCTCCCCCTCCTCTCCTTTCCTCCCCATCCTCTTCTCCTTTCCTCCCCATCCTCTCTTCTGTGCTCTGATAATAAATATTTCAGCGGTACAGGTTCTGGTATGTGTAGTGACGATGAGGCTGACAGGGCTGATAAACTTAACACTCGCAGGTCCACTTCTGAGAGCAATGTCTTCAGGTAGGTCGCTTTACCGATACATACCATGGTTAATCGTATAATGAATTACTTTTTTATGCTTATTATTTTCTTATTTGCACTGACAATCTGACATTTGACTTGTATTAAATTTGTGATTTGACACGAGTCTACATGATGAACATTACAGACCGTTACCGAGAATTGCAGTTAATGGGCTGTAAGTAAAGAGATCGCATCTGATTACACACTAAATTACACACTAAATTAATACTATGTATTCAGATGATTAGATTATAACCACGTGACTCAAACTAATTAAAGATGAGCAACTGATTAAAATTTGTAGCAAAAAGTAAAAAAACGATTATATGTACAGCGTACACTTATCGTCTAGCTATCATGGTTACTAGAAGGCCGATTGCCCTGGTTACCAGTTATTCTGGTTACCTGTTACCCTGGTTACCTGTTACCCAGGTTATCAGTTACCAGTTACCCTGGTTACCTGTTATCCTGGTTACCAGTTACACTGGTTACATGTTACACTGGTTCCCGTTACCCTGGTTTTCAGTTACCCTGGTTACATGTTACCCTGGTTCCCGTTACCCTGGTTTCCTGTTACCCTGGTTACATGTTACCCTGGTTACCAGTTACCCTGGTTCCTGTTACCCTGGTTACCAGTTACCATGGCTACATGTTACCCTGGTTACCTGTTATCCTGGTTACCTGTTACCCTGGTTATCAGTTACCAGTTACCCTGGTTACCTGTTATCCTGGTTACCAGTTACCCTGGTTACCAGTTACCATGGCTACCTGTTACTCTGGTTACCTGTTATCCTGGTTACCAGTTACCCTGGTTCCAGTTATCATAGTTACCTGTTACCCTGGTTACCAGTTACCCTGGTTACATGTTACCCTGGTTACCAGATACTAAGTTACACTGGTTACTTGGTCTCAATTAACATTTTATACGAGTTTTTTTCCCTACTCTTGCCGAAGGCAAAAAGATCGTAGGGAATAAGTAATCGGGTTTGGATAATATGAGGTGGCCCGACAGTCCTACGGTGTCGACAAAAGTCTGCTCCTTCGCAATATATACCACTCCCCTATAATAATTAGGTGTATAAAAAGAGTATATTTTGCGCGCGCGACGCTAGTTATGTGTTAATTAATTACAGGCATAACAACCAGTTTTTGGTGCTTGACGACTGTTACACAGGTTTCCATCGGGTTACAATTTACTCTAATTCGTTAATATAGCATATTAGTCATCTGAGCGGATCAATCATCAATAATATAAGTGTTATTTTGGTGAGACAAGCTTAATAAATTACTATACCGAGGGATAAAATTCAGCAAGTCAAAACAAATAAAATTATGATATCAGCTGATAAACTCGTGGCTGATTATTAAACAGTTGATCGACACTGAATAGTAAAAAGCGAATACATAGTTGAGAACAAATGATTAGATTATAACCACGTGACTCAAACTAATTAAAGATGAGCAACTGATTAAAATTTGTAGCAAAAAGTAAAAACACGATTATATGTACAGCGTACACTTATCGTCTAGCTATCATGGTTACTAGAAAGCCGGTTGCCCTGGTTACCTGTTACCAGTTACCCTGGTTACCTGTTATCCTGGTTACCAGTTACACTGGTTACCTGTTACCCTGGTTACCAGTTACCTGTTACCCTGGTTCCCGTTACCTGTTACCCTGGTTACCAGTTACCCTGGTTACATGTTACACTGGTTCAATCATCAATATAAGTGTTATTTTGGTGAGACAAGCTTAATAATTTACTATACCGAGGGATAAAAAGCAAGTCAAAACAAATAAAATTATGATATCAGCTGATAAACTCGTGGCTGATTATTTAACAGTTGATCGACACTGAATAGTAAAAAGCGAATACATAGTTGAGAACAGATTTTACTTTACATTTACATCCAAGAAGCAACTAAGATCAAGATTGCGGTACTATGCTTTTAAAGAATCCTATATCAAATCAAATGCTCGATGGTGCTGTAGATGTGTCGAATAAGCATCAAAATGTATTAGTTTATGTTAGACTTAGATACAAATAATAACTAAGATGAGACAGAATATTTTATTACAGTCAATAAAGTTGGCATACGATGCAATAATATGACGTGACATGATACGCATCGTTAACACGAAACAAAACCGCGCAACATATGAAATGATCTACAACCAAACCACATACAAATCGACGGCGACATGCACCTCAGATGTGCGCAGGATTTTTCAAGTTCTGCACGCCTAATATAATATAAACGATTAATGATTATCACGTGCGCCAAACACCACTCTGGGATACAATAAAGTAGAACAATTACATTGTAGGCAGTAGGGAAATTTGATCGTGCGTGGTGTTACCGCGGCGAAATTCTTGTTATTGGAAGTTTCTTCAAAATCTGTAATACTTCTTGATAATTCCGAAAAAGGTTACAAAACCAAAAGATTTCAAAATAATTTCAAAGCTTCACACTGATTAAACGACAAATCTTTTAGCGTTTTATTTAATTTGATCTCCACAACTGGCTATTAATCATGGCTGATTGAAGAAAATCTCTTATCAACAATTACTGTTAGTATCTCTATAATAACTGATATTATATCTATAGTAACTGTTCTCTCTGCAGTACAAGTTCGTCATCGCCGGAAAGTGAAATGTTAGCGGCCCCTTCCCAAGACTCGGATATCGACACAATGAACTCCTATCGTACCAATATGGATCAGGTCTGTGCAGAGATACAGCGTGTCAGATAAGATACGTCCCTATAATTTAGATTAACAGATAAGATACGTCCCTATAATTTAGATTAACAGATAAGATACGTCCCTATAATTTAGATTAACAGATAAGACACGTCCCTATAATTTAGATTAACAGATAAGATACGTCCCTATAATTTAGATTAACAGATAAGATACGTTCCTATAATTTAGATTAACAGATAAGATACGTCCCTATAATTTAGATTAACAGATAAGATACGTCCCTATAATTTAGATTAACAGATAAGATACGTCCCTATAATTTAGATTAACAGATAAGATACGTCCCTATAATTTAGATTAACAGATAAGATACGTCCCTATAATTTAGATTAACAGATAAGATACGTCCCTATAATTTAGATTAACAGATAAGATACGTTCCTATAATTTAGATTAACAGATAAGATACATCCCTATAATTTAGATTAACAGATAAGATACGTCCCTATAATTTAGATTAACAGATAAGATACGTCCCTATAATTTAGATTAACAGATAAGTTAGTCCCTATAATTTAGATTAACAGATAAGATACGTCCCTATAATTTAGATTAACAGATAAGATACGTCCCTATAATTTAGATTAACAGATAAGATACGTCCCTATAATTTAGATTAACAGATAAGATACGTCCCTATAATTTAAATTAACAGATAAGATACGTCCCTATAATTTAGATTAACAGATAAGATACGTCCCTATAATTTAGATTAACAGATAAGATACATCCCTATAATTTATATTAACAGATAAGATACATCCCTATACTTTAGATTAACAGATAAGATACGTCCATATAATTTAGATTAGCAGATAAGATACGTCCCTATAATTTAGATTAACAGATAAGATACGTCCCTATAATTTAGATTAACAGATAAGATACGTCCCTATAATTTAGATTAACAGATAAGATACGTCCCTATAATTTAGATTAACAGATAAGATACATCCCTATAATTTATATTAACAGATAAGATACATCCCTATACTTTAGATTAACAGATAAGATACGTCCCTATAATTTAGATTAACAGATAAGATACGTCCCTATAATTTAGATTAACAGATAAGATACATCCCTATAATTTAGATTAACACATAAGATACATCCCTATAATTTAGATTAACAGATAAGATACGTCCCTATAATTTAGATTAACAGATAAGATACGTCCCTATAATTTAGATTAACAGATAAGATACGTCCCTATAATTTAGATCAACAGATAAGATACGTCCCTATAATTTAGATTAACACATAAGATACATCCCTGTAATTTAGATTAACAGATAAGATACATCCCTATAATTTAGATTAACACATAAGATACATCCCTGTAAATTAGATTAACAGATAAGATACGTCCCTGTAATTTAGATTAACAGATAAGATACGTCCCTATAATTTATATTAACAGATAAGATACATCCCTATACTTTAGATTAACAGATAAGATACGTCCCTATAATTTATATTAACAGATAAGATACGTCCCTATAATTTAGATTAACAGATAAGATACATCCCTATAATTTAGATTAACACATAAGATACATCCCTGTAATTTAGATTAACAGATAAGATACGTCCCTATAATTTAGATTAACAGATAAGATACGTCCCTATAATTTAGATTAACAGATAAGATACGTCCCTATAAATTAGATTAACAGATAAGATACGTCCCTGTAATTTAGATTAACAGATAAGATACGTCCCTATAATTTATATTAACAGATAAGATACGTCCCTATAATTTATATTAACAGATAAGATACGTCCCTATAATTTAGATTAACAGATAAGATACGTCCCTATAATTTAGATTAACAGATAAGATACGTCCCTATAATTTAGATTAACAGATAAGATACGTCCCTATAATTTAGATTAACAGATAAGATACGTCCCTATAATTTAGATTAACAGATAAGATACGTCCCTATAATTTAGATTGACAGATAAGATACGTCCCTATAATTTAGACTAACGGATAAGATACGTCCCTATAATTTAGATTAACAGATAAGATACATCCCTATAATTTATATTAACAGATAAGATACGTCCCTATAATTTAGATTAACAGATAAGATACGTCCCTATAATTTAGATTGACAGATAAGATACGTCCCTATAATTTAGACTAACAGATAAGATACGTCCCTATAATTTAGATTAACAGATAAGATACGTCCCTATAATTTAGATTAACAGATAAGATACGTCCCTATAATTTAGATTAACAGATAAGATACGTCCCTATAATTTAGATTAACAGATAAGATACGTCCCTATAATTTAGATTAACAGATAAGATACGTCCCTATAATTTAGACTAACAGATAAGATACGTCCCTATAATTTAGATTAACAGATAAGATACGTCCCTATAATTTAGATTAACAGATAAGATACGTCCCTATAATTTATATTAACAGATAAGATACGTCCCTGTAATTTAGATTAACAGATAAGATACGTCCCTATAATTTAGATTAACAGATAAGATACGTCCCTATAATTTAGATTAACAGATAAGATACGTCCCTATAATTTAGATTAACAGATAAGATACGTCCCTATAATTTAGATTAACAGATAAGATACGTCCCTATAATTTAGACTAACAGATAATATACGTCCCTATAATTTAGATTAACAGATAAGATACGTCCCTATAATTTAGATTAACAGATAAGATACGTCCCTATAATTTAGATTAACAGATAAGATACGTCCCTACAAAAATTGTACTAAGATTCCATTAAAGTTAAGCACTCACTCGTTGTCTGATTGCGGGAAATATTGATCCTTGATCTTGCCAGATAGAAGACTGGGTTCTCAACAAGGACAGATGTCACTGCAGAGTGGTGATCAGAGAGTTGGTACCCAGCATAGTGCGACACTGGAAGGCAGCCGAGAACTTTGATAACCTCATATCAGTGATGATAGAAGCTGTGGCAGCTGCGGTCTATATGGGGGACAGCGAGGAGGCTTTTTATTGGATAGGGGAAATTAATCGCAGACAAGACGACAAGAACACTGTATCCTTCCAGGTAATTCAACTGTAGTTCCTCAGTGGTTAAATAATATATTTCCTGTCTATGAAAATGTAAAAATTATTGATTAAAAGAATGTGCTGTGATATATCGTGTGTTATTTAAAAAGAATGTGCTGTGATATATCGTCTGTTATTTAAAAAGAATGTGCTGTGATATATCGTGTGTTATTTAAAAAGAATGTGCTGTGATATATCGTGTGTTATTTAAAAAGAATGTGCTGTGATATATCGTCTGTTATTTAAAAAGAATGTGCTGTGATATATCGTCTGTTATTTAAAAAGAATGTGCTGTGATATATCGTGTGTTATTTAAAAAGAATGTGCTGTGATATATCGTGTGTTATTTAAAAAGAATGTGCTGTGATATATCGTCTGTTTAAAAGAATGTGCTGTGATATATCGTCTGATTAAAAGAATGTGCTGTGATATATCGTCTGTTTAAAAGAATGTGCTGTGTCACGTGCTATATCACGTGATATAGCACGTGATATAGCACGTGATATAGCACGTGATATATCGTCTGTTATTTTCAGGTGTCCATGACGCGCATGCAGGAAGCAACAGTCAGGTACTTACAGGGGCAGGCTCACTTCAAGAACAGTCAGATTAATGATGCTATAGACTGCTACAGGAAGTGTCTCAAGCAACTAGGTAAATGTTACCTGTTACCCTGGTTACCTGTTACCCTGGTTACCTGTTATCCTGGTTACCAGTTACCCTGGTTACCATGGTTACGTTACAGATGGGTTAATAAGGGGTTATAATTTGTTAACATTTGGTTGATGGCGGAGAAAGTACAGCTTGGAAATAGGGGTTAAAGTAAGAATATAATTGAGTTACACATTCTGTTATTGTTGTTTTCCAGTGATTTGTATCTCACAGTGTATTTTCAGGAGCTCCCCAACCCTCCTCAAAGATAGAGGCCCATTTAAACCTAACGCTATACGTTATGAAACACATGTTGGACGAAAAGTTCCACTTCAAAGTTAACAACTCCACTTTCAATTACGAGGACGCAGAACGCTTTCACATCATCATTCAGTGCCTTGGTGAGTTCAATTTCCCTTTCACTATCATAATTCAGTGCTTTAGTCATTTTAATTTCACTTTCATTATCGCTATTCGGTTTCACTTTCTCTTTCACTGACATCAATCAGGGCGGTTGAGAGTAGCACTAGAGGTGCAACATAAGAACGTGTTGGCGTATAGTGCTGCTGTAGAACAGTACAGGTACTGGTCTAGCAGTGCCATAGAGGAGACCTCTATGAAGCTGGAGACACTCGCCAACTTCATTCATGCTGCTCAAAAATACGCCCTCAGAGTCCCTTACAATCAGTGCGTTTTTTTACCTTATTCTTCTCTTTACTCTTGCTATCAGTTCGTACTGATCGCAATTGCTCTGATTAATTGGTATTATTAAATTTCCAAGGGCCGTCTTTTTCACGATATCTAATGGATTAACCCGCCCAGCATTGAAGACAAACTGAACGCCTCTATGGAGTTTGAAGCCCTGTCTCCTGATAATTCCATGGCATTGTTCTACGCTTACTTGCTGCTCACTGAGACTAAAATATCTGAGGGTGGTATAAACGCTGGTAAGCTTTGTAAGAATTCCAACGGAATTATACTCAAATTTATAAATTATGTTGGTTATCGAAATTAACTGACAGCACAGGTTGACAAACTGATTGGATTTATAATTAATATTATTTTCCCAAGCTTATACCCTGTCTAGGAAACTTCCAAACTGGGCTCCGTTTTCCGGTCTATTCATTGACATTTGACAACTGAGATAGTGACTATTCAGTGACACAAGTCTCTCTCAGAGTGCACGGCAGTAACTTTCCATTTTGTCACAGGTGTAGAGCACGGGAGTAACGCTCTCCTTCTCTCCGATTCTATGAAACATCGTTTACTGTTTGTTTCCGCTTCACCCAGTTTGGTTCTTGGCTTCTTCTTTAGCAACGACAGGAGCAAACTCGTAGAAACTCTGAAGAATATGAACAGATTCGCTGTGGAGGTAAACGATTTGTCAATCATTTTCTACACAGTCTCGTCTGCAACTAGATTGATATTTATAGATAGTTTGGTAAAATCATTGATATTCATGGATATTTTGGTAAAATTATCCTTTATTTCCCCACAGATTTCCGACCACGAAGGGCAGGCCTGGTTTGTAGCGTTCGCACTGTTCCTGGAGACAGAGCTGTACGAGCAGCTAGAATCCTCCCTCATGTACAGAGAGTATATATTTAGTAGTGTCAGCAGCGCAGACTTTACCAACGATTCTATCGCCAGGTTTATTGAATTTAATAGATACAGGGGTAGTTTTACCTAGACTGGCCCGTGAGGGTGACGCCAGACTGGGAACCAGTGTACAGTGAGAGATCGGGTGTAATTACCCACGTCTAATAATTCACTCCTATACCATTTTTGACTTATAAAAAAAGTCTAAATCATTGCTGGTATTGAGTGTTTGAATCAAAGTCACTGAGAAATAATCTACAGGTTCTGCATGCTGATATCGCTGGCACTAAGTTTTGCTCGTCAAGGAAACGGCCAGCGAGCAACCTCATGGGTAACAGTAGCTCGAACTCTCGCCCCTCCAGTAATCAGCAGCCTGACGTGCGCCTTCTTCCACGCTTTACTACTAGAAACTCTTATACTGCTCTACCAGATGGGATACGATGTTAAGAGGCGACTTCGCTCTACTCTCAAAGTGTGCCTCAAAAATATGAGCGTTTATAATTGTCTACGACCTCGTGTCTACACGTATCTTGCGTTTGTTAAATTGTTGAGAGGGAGAACTCGTGACGCGCACGCCGCCATTGCACGTGCGATGCATTTTGCGGAATTGTACGACCAGAGTCTGGATATCGTGCGGATAAGGCATTGTAAGCGGGCCTGGTTTGGGGAGAAGAAACCTAAGAATTTACTGAATAAAATGCTGCAGCCAGGCAAGAGAGCGTTGTCGAGTAAGAAAGTACACACCTTGTTGGAGGATCAGGTGGAGGTGGGAGAGGAGGAGGAAACTAGTAAAGTTTATACTCTTCCTTTGCACCTGAACAATGCTAACCTCTCTGAGGAGGCACCCAGTAACCCTAAAATCAGCAGCTCCAGTCAGGAGAGCAAAGGGAAACAGAACTCCAGCACCCAGGAGTTTACTGACATCCAGAACCCCATGGGTGGGGTAGGGATGGGAACGATTGCGGAGTGCGAGGAACTTATACTGCCAGATACTGACAGCTCAATTAATCTTATCCTTACCTCTTGCGCTTAATTTAATTAATTTACCTTCAGTTTGTTTCAGTGTTCAGACCTACAGTCGTTATTTACTGGATACGTATCAGAATTATTCTTTGTTAGTTTTTTTTTCGTGACTGCCATGTTGTGGTAGTAACCTCGGTTAACTTTTTTTTAATTCTCAATTTTTATTGATTTTCTATATTATTTGTTTTGTAAATGTTATGTCCTTGAAATTCATCGTTTTGCATCACGTTGATATTGGATATAATTAGTTTGTAGTTACTGTTAGTGTTAGTAACTACTACTGGTAACTAATTATTCTTGTAAGGACCATAATGCAGTAATCCTTAAATATTGTGTGTTGTATTACCTATATACTATTGTATTCCAGACTGTTTGAAATGGCAACTGGTTTTTCAAGAAAGTGGAAAATTTGATCGAGTTTGAAAGTTTACAGAATCATGCATGATTCATGTTCGTTTGTCTGTATGCGAATAAGATTGAAGATATTAATCTAAAATAACTTCACTGTAATTGCCCCAAGTAAACAAAACAGAATGGAATACAATGTCGAACTATACAGAGTCAAACTATTTGTTTAATTTATTAATTTTTTATTTTTGTAATATTTCCAGATATGTACATACGTATAATGATAGGTGTGTTCTTTGACCGGAATTTGTCTTCAATGTAATCAATTTACGTTTCATCACTGAAAACTTGATGTGTATGAATTGTTCCTTGCGCGAAGCGCGATGCTTTCTGTCGCCGTCTACGCTAGGTTTTTATCATACATCACTGAATAAAATCAAAAATCGCCCGACTTTATTATTATACATGTACATCATAGGCGCCTAATACAATTTAATACTTGTCATTTCATTGCCGTTTCACTAGTATCGCGCAGCTGTATCGTAGCCACGCGTGGCTACGATACAGCTGCAGCTGCGCGGCAGCTGTCTACAACTAGTCAGTGTAATAAGCGCCAAGTGCGAGCAAAGAACTTTTTTTCTCCGATTTCGATAAATTTGGTATCAAAATTTGTCTAAAAATGTGAATAAAATAAATCCACCGTGTATGGTGTAGCAATTTTCGGGAAAAATGCTACATGGCGCTTGTTCGCCGCGCGTGCTTTTTTCGCGCAAATTTTTAGTTTTTGGCCTATTACTTTCACATTTTCAGTTAGGCGCAGTTTATATCTCCGCCAAAAGCATCACATTTTAGCATTAATGCGCGTAGTTTTCTCAACTATTTTCACAGTCGCGCCTTCCTGAAGTTACATTAAACAGCCTCTTTTGCTTCCTAACATACCAGTTTACAGGAAGCAAAATATTATATATAAGTAAAGTGCAAGAAACCGAATTCGAACTTGGCACATTAATAGCATGGGAGACGATATTATACATGGGCGATATTTAGTAGAGAATAAACCAGTACCTATAACGGTGTACCGGTACCGGTATACCTACGGGGGTGATATTAGTACAATTTTGTAAGAACACCTCCTCCCGTATTATTGAGAATAAATTTACTTTTCCATACAATTGTGCACTTCAGTCGTATAGTAAACCGGCAGTAAAGCATGAAATGCTTTAATGATAAAAGATTCGTTTGTTACATAATTATGCTTTTTTTGAGTCGAGAAATACAAAATATGATGTTAACAAAACACAACTTTAAAGAACGATCAAAATTCTTACAAAGTTTTATTATAAAACTCTGTGACTGTTAAAAAGTATTAGGTAAATGATTCTTTTAATTCTGCCTTGATGGTCTGTAGCTTTTTCTCCTGTTTCCCTATTCCTAGTCCTTGCTATGTTATTATCACATAATTATTATGGCATAGTAATCAACTCATCGAGACGAAACTTTTAGTACTAATATTTTAAGATTTAAAGGAAAATTATTTTGAAAATTTTTCAAATCTCAAATCTAGTGTGAAATTTTAAAAAAATTTGTGCTTCAAATATTATAATTTTGGTACCAAACGTTGCGTCTGACTAAGTTCATTACGATACTGTTGACATACGTTGCATGCCACTTTTCGCGCGCGAAGCGCGCGCCGCCGAAGGAGTTATAGGCATTTTAAGCAATAAATTACCCATTTTTCGTACTTTGTACATTCTTGTAATGCACAGGAGGCCCACATATAGCTCGACGTTATTTTGCTACACGGTGAATTTGCATTATTCACACTTAGAGGAAACTTTTAGTACCAAATTTATCAAAATCAGAGACAACAAATTCTGTGCCAACTCATGGCGCTTATTACATAGACTAAACGTATGACTCATACTTACCTGGGGACCTCAGGCTTGTAGCGCGATGCGTTACTGTGCCGCGCCGCGCACTCAATAAGGCTTCTCACAGCGACAGCTAGATCGGCGAGATGCGCTACTGTGCCGCGCCGAGCTGCCATGAATTGACATCGTCAATTAAACCTCAGGCTATCATGTTCATTCGGCTATCATGTTCATTCGGCGGAATGACAGGCTGAGCGCGGCCCAGTAAGACTCATACGTGCGGCTGTATCTTGATTCACGATGTCAATCCTTCCTAGCTCGGCGAGGCCCAGTGGTGCATTAATTCGCAGATCTACGGCTGTATCGTAGCCACAATACTAGCGCTCCTACTAAATCGCTCGCCCAAATTTTAAGAAAATTCTTGTGAAAAGGCCCTTTGGGCATAAAAGTATTTTTGGATACACCGTGACGCGCTAGTTTTACAATTAATACAAAGTATTAGTAAACAGAATCTCGTGCCACCTTCGCCGCGATCGTGCGCTACAGCGATCGTGCGCTACTGCATATCGTGCGTTACTAGCAAGCGCGAACGAGAGGGCTCTGGTTAGACAATAAAGCAAGTTTTGACCATTGGCATTATTAATGGTCTGGCCCGTCGCGCGCGGCGCGCTACTTCGTAGCACTTGCCATCGCGGGCCAGTAACATTTCGAGAAAAAAGCGGCGCGCGGTACTTCGAGGAAATTTAGACGAGTAACATCCGTCAAAAGCAAGTCTGAAGTCATGCGTGATTGATCGGAATCAGCGTCCAAAGTACATTTGTTTAATTGTTCAAGTTGGTCTCAACTGTATCTTGAAGATAGACTCATGTGTATAAAGTAAATGGTAAAGTGATTTAGCACGCTCGCTCCCATTACACATTACTTGACGGATGCTACTCGTCTAAATTTCTTCGAAGTAGCGCGGGCCTCTTTTTTCTCGAAATGTTAGCCCGACGGCACGTGTTACAAAGTAGCGCTCGCCGGGCCAGACCATTAACAATGGTCAATCCCATTACTTGTCATACGTTGTAGACCCACCGTTCACTTAGCCATTGCGCTACTGCAAGCGAGAGGACTCTGGTTAGGGCAAAACCCCGCCGTACGAGTGCGCGGCTGTATCGTAGTCACGATCGTTGTAACGCGATGCACTATTAGGCCACGCCGCGCCGCTGCGCATTTTCTCGCAACCATAGTTTACCTGGGGACCTCATGCTATTATGTTCATAAACATATAGAATAGAGATTCGGCGGAATGACAGGCTGAGCGCGGCCCAGTAAGACGTAATACAACTTAATACAAAATCAAGGATAAACACTTTACACAAGTAAACATTATATACTACAACTCACCAAATTTCTCTCTCTCTCTGGTTTGGTCAACGGTTTCTGGCCTCCTAGTTAAGAGGGAGGCCTTCTCGCCGTGCCCACAGAGTGTGATTCCTGCTAGCCACACTCCAGGACTCCCTAAGTATATACAAAAGCATAGAATAATAGATATCAACGCAACAGACCTCTGGAGTCTCGAAGCTGTTACTACCTTGCTCAGAGCAAACCCACTTCAGATGTTCTTCTTCGGCGGGCAGGCGAGGGACTTCTGAGCATGGTCCACTGGATATGTGTCACTATCTGATATAGTCCTGTGTGGGTCTAATGTATGATTGTTTATGAGCCTTGGTGTATGTCCTAGGTGTTTATCCAAATAGATCGTCTCTGTCAAACCTTGTTGACTTTTCCACAAATTTGATGATGAGGTCGAGTTTACTATTGATGAGTTCCTCAATTGTTAGGATGGGTTTACCAAATATCCTCAATCTAGTTGTCATCAGCTGGATCAGTGGCGTAACTTAGGGCCCCGCAGACCCCGCTGTTCACAGTCTTGTGTTTCGAATTTGGCGTTGTTTGCTACCGTCTGGAAGTATGCTAGTGGGCTGTGTCCTGATAGTAGCCATGTTAGCCATCTGATGTGAGTACCTGTGATGTTGATTATCTTGTACCTGTTTTTGTTGAGGAAAAATGTTAGTGGGGTTTTTCCTTTGTCACTGAGTGCCACCTGTTTATACTTCTTGATATGGAGATTGAAGAGGTAATCTTTTATATGGGTGTTGATTATGCCTTCCGAGAGTGGGAGGAAGGGTTCAGGTCCAATGGGGTTCACCAAATTTATGCTGATTAACGGATTGTTAAACAAAATTGCAATATAAATTTAATGTTTTATTTTTCCCCGTCTTCGAACGTTAAATTATATTTTGAGCGCCGCGCGCATCTGAAAAATTATTTTAAAATCGAGCGCTACCCAAAATTTCTTAGAAACCGTCCACAGTCGACTCAAACAGCTCATATAAACTCAGTACTAATAAAGCCCTAGTACAGTATGCAGTACATTAGTAATTTACTAATCTACTTGTGATTAAGTTTTAAGCTTTTATAGTTTCCTTTGATTAATGGAGGATATGATGTAATTTTAAGGTATTGTCACGACACATGACAAAATTGAACAACTTCATCCTACATCTAAACGAATGAAAATATAACAACCACACAACACATTAGGCGTCATTACCCCATTTCCTTGGACGCAAAGGATATTAACAGAAAGATACTTGGCCGGTGGGCTACAATATGCAAGTATACAAACCGCAACTGGGGATTCAGACAACATGTCATTGTAAGGCTAATTGAAGTTCTCATATATTCACGGATCCACTATGCTGGAACTGTCTGGATCAATAATAGAAGTATCAAAGAAATTGAAAGCGCTTGGTATAGGACTATAAAAGCAGCTTTGGGTGCAGTGTTCAATGTAAGACTAACTACAGCTGAAATGATACTTGGTGTGTTGCCACTCAACATATCAAACAAAGTGAACTCAGTGAAGCACATCCTTAAACTGAATATATTCCCGAATAAAGAGGATCCACTGAAACACCTTATTGATGACCAAATGAAATCAGGCAGTTACAGCGCACTAACTGGAAAAGTAAAAGATGTATTTCAGTTTCTATTGTGGAAATCTTCGATACTTCCTGAACACTTCACTAATGAGGATCTAAAAATCATAAATAACCATGATCTAGAAAAACTCACCAGTCTATCAATAAAAGGATGCAGCTACAGTAAATCAGTGATGAAACATTACAGTGAACAGCTTTGGCAATCGTGCATAAACAGCCAGTACCAGCTGGAAGGGTATACAGAGGCACCTACAGTGAGCGCCACAAAGCTCAAGTTTCCGCCCAAAACATCAAGGCAACTTGAAACCTTGTTTCTAAGCTTGTTCTATCCGAACAACATAATGAATGAATTTCTTCACCGCTTCAAAAGCAGTAAATTTGATTCTCCACTGTGTGATTGTAGGCGAGGGGCTCAAAATTCACTTCACCTGCTTACCGACTGTCCTGATGTACAAGCAGATAAAAGGAACAAAATGAGTGAGCTTCTTGAAAGACACCCTTTCCACAACATCAAAAACCAAGGCTATGGTGGGAACTCAATGTTGATATCATGGAGCAGACTTCGTGAGTTCTTTGATCTAGCACTGGAAATAACAAAGGATGCAGAAGAATTCCTTCGAATAGAGATAAAACTTTAAACAGTTGATTATACTCCAACTACCATAACTACACCATCCCTATGATTAGTGAGCCGGGTTCAATGTTAGACCGGACGAAGCATATGCATATATTTCATGAGCCGGGGTCAATGTTAGACCGGACGAAGATATGGCTACATCTCAACAGTGGATAACACAGCAGAGGTTCTATTACAGTTAAATTCTGTTACCTGAACTCAACTTAACAGTTCTAATATTATAGCATATACTATAATATTATGAAGATATTTTGTGTCAAAATGAGGCTGTTTAATCATTCTTACACACCAAAGGTTGTTGTGTGTTTTTTAATTAATTTATTATTGTTTAAAAGTTTATATTGAGAATTTCATACAGTAGTCTATAGACTAATTAAATTATTTACTGGTCACATATATGTGGTTTTAGAATTATATAATGACATTGAACGAACTTATTTATTGCGAATTTAAAGGATTGCTAGTATTTTATTTATTTGTTTTCACTTCTGCACGTTTAGGCAGTTGCTCTTGTGACCAGAGTTTTAGAGTTATATATATATATATATATATTGGATTGGAAATTTTCCTTCTGTTGTGCTCACTTGACACTTTGTCTCTGGTTTCAAACAATAAACTGCGGACAGGAGGTATTTTTAATCGAGTATTAGTCAAGAATTTAAGTCAAGAGTCGAATAGGAGATTATTTATCAATTTGGATAATGAAAAAATAGCAGAATTAGATATAAATTTGGAGCCAGTTCTTTAAACTGGCTTACTTATACTACTTAAAGGGTGTTTATAAATTTTATTTAGTTTCTATTGAATTTATATTGAATTTTTATATAGGGTAATTGTTATATTATGTGTATATTGTTTTTATAGCATTTAATCTAACAAAAAAAAAAAAAATTTGGATAATGATAATATGTTCATTTACTCGAAATAGTTTTTTTTTTTGAATATATCCTAAGAAAAGAGCTTCTCCAATTTCCAAATCAATGAAACTAATAAATCGATGAAACTAATAAATCAATGTTTTAGCTCATTTTACAAAGTCAAATATTTAAAACAATTAAAATTGTATAGTGCTCAATTTGTAAATGACTAGTTGATCTTTGCTATAATGATAATATGTTCATTTACTCGAAATAGTTTTTTTTTTTGAATATATCCTAAGAAAAGAGCTTCTCCAATTTCCAAATCAATGAAACTAATAAATCGATGAAACTAATAAATCAATGTTTTAGCTCATTTTACAAAGTCAAATATTTAAAACAATTAAAATTGTATAGTGCTCAATTTGTAAATGACTAGTTGATCTTTGCTATTGGAAGTTTGTCAAGGACTGGCAGCTAGCGGGGCAAGGAATGCACGGGCTTAGGGGCTATTTGGCACATTGAATAAATATGTCTTCATCCCAATTTTAAACATATCCACGTACTGTATAACACATTTTGACTGTTACACATCACTCACAGTCAGCCACTCTGACATGGTTGACCACCTTCCTTGTGTGCCTGTCCGGGTCAATAAAGCAGTCAAGCATCATGTATGTTATGTTGAGCATTCTCAACCAACAAATGTGGGAACTCCCACGAAAGACCAAAACAGATCTGAAGAGACACTTAACAACATTGGAAAATAGACTTTAATTTGTTTATATAATTTATAAAGCGTATATTATTGCCCACGTTAAGGGGCATGTTAATAATTTATTAAATTATTAGCTATTTTAGATTTAATGATAATAATAATTCCTTGTGTTGTTGGTTGATCATATGAGGGGCTATAAATAACTCATTTCATTGTTATAGATTTTGGGTCAAATGACATTGAAAGATCTTTGCTCTTGAGTCTTGATTTGATTTGATTTGATTTCGGCATGATAACGACCATCTAGCAAGGTCACTGAGGATAGCACAAGACCCAATTGTCATATAGTCAATTTCAGAGTTTCATTCAGATCGATTGAATTCAGTTAAAACAGTTATTTGTATTAAATGATATAAATGTTTCTATTATATCACATGAACGAATTCACATCACTAAACATCCATATGCCACAAGTAGAGAATTGCGTCATTTGGGTAACAGATATTTGAGTAACAGATCTTTCTCTCATACGTCACAAGAAGAGATTTACGTCATGTGCCATCCCTCCCTAGGGGAAAATAAACTTATCAATACATCTTATAAAATCAATATATGATATAATAATATAAATCACAATCAAATATAAATCACAATCAAATTAGATAGAAATCATATCAACAACAATTGTAGTACTGAAAGTTCTATTCCCAAATAAAGCCTTGATATTTAATGGAAAATCATCAAAACATAAAATGAGAATTTGGAAGATTGTTTAGCCATTTCCTTGAACAAAAATTGACGGTTTTGACTGATATTGTTTACCAGTGACTAATCAGTGAGGTCGGTGAGAGTGACACAAGTCGCCATCAAGGTACTAGAACCAGTATATCCGGAGAAAACTTTGATGCAATGAAAATTTTGAATATGTCCTACTATACCGGTACGACATTTTCAAATTTCAGCTTTCGGCGACCCAAATTTCACTGTTTTGACTGAATTTTTCTTGAATGACCATCTAGCTAAGTCACTGAGGATAGCACAAGACATGATTGTGGTACTGAAAGTTCTATTCTGTGAGTAAAGTATGTGTGAGAAAGTTTTAATAAAATTATTGTATATTTACTTTTGAATTTTTTAAATCTAATTTGAGAATGAAGTTTAAAGAAATTTTAATTAGCACTGTATAGTTTAAGATATTTATAGCTTATTATAACCATTGATACAAAGGCCATAATCTTTCGCCAGCTCTCCAATATCCACCTTGAAAGCTTGAAGCTGCATTTTATATCCTTGAACTACACAATATAAACTAAAGAATGTTTTAGTGTAGACTTTTTGTCACAACAAGACTGCAACCTATAATAACAACTATAAACAGAACCCCTAATGTCTGCTTACAATTTTTCTTCTAGTCCTAATTTGAGCCTTGTCTCTATAAACTTAACTGAACTAGCGTTTCGGTGTGTGCAAAAGCTTCCAGGCACGCGCATTCCTTGCCCCGTTAGTTACCTGTCCTTCCAAAACCAAACTAGCAGTCAAGGACAAAAAGTCATACACCAAATGGGCATTATATTTTATGAATTGTTTTACATCTTTTTATTCTGTAAAAATGTGCTAAAATTAAATTTCTTGTTTCATTGAATTTCTTGTTTCATTGATTCCCAAATAAAGCTTTGATAAATTGAAAATCATCAGAAGATAGGACAATGCGTTTGAGAGAGTGTCCGTCCATGCTGACTGTAAGAAAACATTTCCTGTAGATACTCAGGGGCATTCCCTGAATAATATTATCTTTTAACATCAAGCCAGTGAAGATTCCTTAAATCATCTTCCATGTGATCATGTTTGTACTTTCCTGTATAAACTGTAGAATAGCCCATTACAATAGTCTTAATATGAGACAGTCAAACTGTTAGATTGAATTTAATATCTCTGATGTAAAAGAATGTTTGAAAAATGTATTGTTTTATTGAACATACCTATCTATTGTTTCATAATTGATTTAACTTTATTTTTGCTTTGTTTTGATTACAGTAGAACATTTTTCAGGTGAAACCATGGCTGCAACTTCTACAACTGAAGATGAGCAATTACTGCAAGCAGTTTTAAGCTACCTGAAAAAGAAAAATTTACAACAGACTGAGCAGGCTCTGAGAAAAGAAGCAGATATTCAAGGAGATGAAGATTCACTTCATGTTGATAAGATGAAGCAGGTTCTAACTACTTACAAGAGTGCTCAGCACCAAGAGCGCGCCCTGTCTCAGTTTGGTGCTCTCTGTCAGTTTGTGGAGAAGAGTCTTGAAATGTATCGTGGTGAACTTAGTCTTGTGATCTATCCATTATTTGTGCAAATCTACCTTGAATTGATACTTGGTAACCAACCCAAACTGGCCAGGGAATTCTTTGAGAAGTATAAGGGCCAGCAAGAGGGGCGAGAGGACGACCTGTATGAGTTAACAACCATCACAACAAAAGAGGCGTTGCAGCTAAATTCAATATTTTCCCACTTTAGAAGCAACAAGTATGTCATCAGAATGTGTAAAGATAGTTTCAACTGTTTATTGTCTCACCTACAAGATAACTCTCATGTTTTACTGCTGAACTTAATCAACCTTCATCTTTATGTTGACGTTTTTGATGGTCTTCCAAAGCAACCTTCCCAGCTTGCGTTATCTAATTCAACAATGATGGGGGATGGAATGAAATCAGTAAATCAGCAGAAAATGCATTATGGTGTGATTCACCCTCCTGCCCTATTAAATGCCCTTTTAGACCCTGACGAATTTGATGATCCTGGAGGGGAGGCAGACAGTGATCCTAAGAAGAAGAAAAAGAAAGAGAAAATGATTTTGGCTACTGTGAAAATAAAAGACAAAACTGAAAGCCATGCTCCACCTCCTGGAAGGATTCCCTATCCGCCCTTGACTGAAGCTGATATAGCCGCTAACAATGAGACGATTCAAGAGTTAACTGGTCGATACAGGATTACTCATGGTAATCAACCTACCATTGCTTTCTATACATTTCTCAATGGAACAGAGGTTGTTAATTGTGCAAATTTGTCTGAAGATTGCAAGCTTTTGGCTGCCGGATGTCAGAACAGTGCTGTTAAGATTTGGTCACTCACCAGAAACAAGATTTACAAAATGAAAGAAGCTGCAGAATTAGACTCTTTAAATCTTGCTGATGAAAACATAATCGACATGATAATAGATGATAGGACAGGGACACAATCTCTGACTTTGTATGGTCACATTGGTCCTGTTAATGATGTAGCTTCAAACTATAACAAAAGTTTGGTTTTGAGTTGTGGCAATGATTGTACAGCACGTTTGTGGTCCCTACAAACTCACACACAGTTGGTGTCCTACCGCGCACATGAGGATACCATATGGCGCTGTGCCTGGTCACCTTTAGGACACTATTTCGCCACAGGTGGCGTTGACAGACTAGTGATCCTATGGAGCATGCAGCACATAGCTCCAGTCAGACTATTCAGTGGTCATTTGGGTGATGTTACGAGTCTGTGTATCCATCCCAATGGGAATTATGTTGCTTCAGGCAGCAGTGACAGAAGTATTAGAATATGGGATATGTCAGGTGGGGGCTGCGTACGACAACTCACTGGCCACAAGGAACAGTAACATCTCTAGTCTTTTCACCTCATGGTCATTTACTCATTTCAGGTGATGAGAAAGGATCCATACTAGTATGGGATTTAAGTAATGGCTCTCACACAGCTACTCTGTCAAATCACACGGACACAGTGACAAGTTTAGCAATGAGTAGAGAGGGAGGCACCCTGGTTAGTGGGGGGATGGACTGTGTGGTGAACACTTGGGACATGGCTTTCGTTGTGGATAACTGCGAGACTGAGCTGGCTAATGAAGACGTTCTCATTAATATGAGCAAAACTAAGAATTCACCTGTCTTGCATTTGGGTTCAACCAGGAAGAATCTTATTATGGGTGTAGGAAATTTCTATTCCACCGATAAAATATAGTGTAAGTTAATAAAAACTAGCTTATTTTCAAATCTATGATATTGCTATAAGGTGACTAGTGACATTTCTTAACAGCTTCTCAGAAAGAAATCACGACAAAGATGTTTGCTGTGAACATTTTATTATTTAATTAGTATTCTTTATTTTTATTGTCATGGAAATTAAATGCTATACAGCAATGGTTACATTATACTAATATTGTAACAAGTATGTATTTATTGATTGAATCTTGCAATTGGATTTACTAGAATACTGTTACTTAGATTTCGATAATCACACTCCAATGACTCTACATTGAACTGCTAAAGTTTGTACTGTCAAATTGTAAGAAACTAAGGATTTTACTCCGTAGAAATAATATTTAGAAAAGATCGAAATGAGTTCCTTGCAATTACAAGTCACTTTACCCTTCCTTTCTCAGAAATATGTTTTGATGGAATCAGAACCAAAAAAGGAAGATATAAATGTTTCTGAAAGACTGGAAACAGAACAGCAACCACCATCACCCTTAGATTTTGGCAGTGCCTTTGCTGAAGGGAGGGAGGGAGCAGGTATTGTACCAGTTGAAGAGAAAGAGGTAGTGGAGAATGCTGAAGGTAATGCGACAGTCGAGAATGTGCCTGCTGCAGAGATTGGAGCAGAGATGATTCCATCTGCTTCAGAGAGTGGGGCAGTGGAGAATACAGCTGCTGCTGGGAAGGAGGCAGTGGAGAATACAGCTGCTGTAGGGAAGGAGGCAGTAGAACCCGGCCCCTCTAACAGTTCTGATCAGTCAAATATTCCCCAAACTCTCTTTTATATCAAACGATTTCAGACGAATCTAAAAGAGCAACCAATGATTCTACAGTCAGTCAACGGGCCTTGTCCACTTATTGCAATTATAAACTGTTTGTTATTACAGCAACGCCTAGATCTGTCAGGAGCAAGCGAATGTATAACTGCAAGTAGTTTGTGTTCGCTGCTGGGAAACTACCTCTTAGATCGGGCTCAGCAAAACGAAAACAAAAGTCACTCAGAACAATATATACTGGACTGCATGGAGAGATTTGTACAGATACAGACTGGTATTGATGTGAACGTTAGATTTAACTCTGTTGAGGGATTTGAGTACACACCAGAATTATCCCTCTTTGATTTAGCTCAGGTCAGGTTACTACACGGCTGGGTGGTTGATCCACAAGATACATTTCTGTCAGAACTGATCGGTGATCTTACATACAATCAGCTTGTTGAGAAAACTATGGAGAAATCAAGCAGTACAGATACAAAAGAAGTCTCAGAATCGTTTGTTTTAAAAGAACACCTGGAATCATCTCAGTTGACAGTCCATGGTATTTGTGAGATCAATGGGGCCCTAAAAACAGGAGATATTGTAGTTCTGTTCCGCAATAATCACTTCAGTACCATAACAAAACAGAAAGACAGACTATACGTGCTGGTGACAGACATTGGGTGGGCTGAAGAGGGGCAAGTGGTGTGGGAAACTTTAGACAGTACGTGTAACTCTTCATCTTTCGTTGATGGTTTCTTCAATTCAGCTTCCACCTCTGTAGATAAAACAACGGTCCTTGCAGACGAAGTAAGTTGCAAATAACTGTGTCTCTTCCAACCGTATTATTTCTATCCAGCCCCTTTTTCAAGAAAGAACAAATATTGAGTCAATAGTGATGGTAAGGATTGCTGGATATTAGATAGCCGGAAACAAAGCTTGCTACTGATTCTTGATTTGGGAAGTTATCATGCTCAAAAGGGGAGTTCCACCTCTCTGCCACATTAAAGCGACCCTTACAACGAAGTGGGCCCGTGTTCTTGTTTCATCTTTAACCATCAAGAATTTGAAAATTCATCTCTAGATATCCATCCAGTTCGTATACTTATCGGTTTCTGACCTTACCGGAATTCTTACCAAGCTTTAGAGATAGTATATACTAGTGAAATTGTATCATTCGTGATTTGTGGGAGAAAACGTGTAAATTTGTGTTTCAGGAGTATGCGTTATCGTTAGAGTTACAGATTAGCAAAGAAGAACAGCTGGAACAACAGCGACTTTGGGATCAAGCGAAGGTTTTTAAGATTGCACGATGAATTATGACATTGAAATTTACCAAAAAGTAAAAACAAATGGCTATAATTTACATTAAATCCAAATACTTGATGAATGTTATGAATCAGTTGAGTTGCTGGCAAGGCTGTCCAGGAGACTCATAACGGTTATGTCGGTAGTTTTTTAACCTGTATTCCCGTTTCCAAATTTAATCAATGATGACTCTTCAGTTGAACTATGAACAACAAGACCGAGAAGAAGGTAACAATCAAGCCCGCCCACAGAAGGTTTGCATTACTCGTTATTTCACTTAATTTATAATATGTCAGCATAGCGTTCACGCGCATTCCCATTATATTGATTTATTTATTTGTGTATACAGCGCGCGCATTAACCGGAATTGATCTCTCGGGTTCTGATCTCTCGGACCCGTATTTGGGCGATTTTACGGATTTTAGGTTTATGTGAATGTACATTTTATGAGTCGGACGACTTTGTAACCTATTTTCGAATAGAATAAAAACATGCCTTTAACATTCATGATTGAATATCTCAACCACAATATTTTTGCGATATGCTTCTGATAGGTGCGATATGTATCCGATAGGTGCGATAATTGTATCCGATAGTCGTGTACATTCGCTTACGACGCCTAACAATAAATTTGTATCGTTGAACACATGCAAGCATCACCTTATTTAACCGACAGTCTAAGAAATTCTATAGCGCCATCTCATTTCCGAGCTCTTGATAAGTGAACCATAATAAATTCAGAAATTGAACAGACGAAAATTAATCAAACTAATCCCTTAAATTTCAGAAAGAAAGAAAAAAATCTGAAGGAGGTTGCTCGGTGATGTAGTGACTATGGTTGTGTACAGTGTAGTTTTCACGGAAACTAATGTAAAGTGTTTAGTAATTGTTGTGGAAAAAAATGTATTTTTGGAGACAGAATAGAGAATTTTTGGAATGTTTCATGTTTAAAATGTTTAATTTTAATTGTTACACTTAGGGGTCGTTCACATATTACGTAATCACTTATTGGACAATTTTTGACCCCCTTCCCCCTCCGTAATCAGTTTTACACATAGCTATTGTGTCAAAATTACACTAGCGTAATCATTTGGAAACCCCCCTCCCCCCTGATTACGTAATATGTGAACGACGCCTAATTTAATGTTTTTTGATCTCAGATAATATTTGTGTGAACGCTATATCTAGATCTTTATAAATATAAATTATTAGATTTAATTGTTTTCATGGTAACAAATTAATAATATCTAATTTCGGGATTGATCACAACTCCAATTGTTTTATTTATCGATGCACATGCTTAGTGCTTCATTTCCAAAAAGGTAAAACTATTTGGTAACACCCCCTCGAGATTCCCTCAGTCTAACTAAACTTCGAGTTTAACAATTGTAGCACACCACTTTGTCCCACCGAACATTTTTAGATATCAGCTTTCCTCGACCCAAATATCACTGTTCTGAATGAATTTGTCTTTTATACGACCAATTAGTGAGTTCACTGTGCACTGTGGAATGTGGATGGGTCAAGACACGATTTAGGCACTAAAAGCTAGATTACCGAACAATGCATTGATTTAAATGGAAAATTATCAGAATAGAAGGAGACATTTTGAAAGAAATTTAATAGTTTTGACTGAATTCTTGACTAGTGACTAATCAGTGAGGTCAATATGAGTGACACAAGTCACCATCGAGATACTGTAAGCTGAATGTCTGGAGAAAGCTTCGATGAAAAAAATCATGAAAATATCCTACCGGTAGGACATCTTCAGATATTAACTTTCCTCGACCGGAATTTCACTGTTTGGACTGAATTTTGTCCTCCATGCAATGCAATGACCAAATAATGGATGGCACAAGACACGATTTAGGTTAGCAGTTAGGGGCCATCTACTTATATAGGACGTCTGGCAAATAGGGAGGGGGTGGTTTTGGAATTTCGGACAGGGGAGGGGGAGGGTGGTTTCTGAAAATCCGGACGTCCGGAAATTTTTGCAGAATTAACGAAAAAGTCCCATTTATTTCAACTCTTTGACACTAATTACTCTGTAAGTTTAGATCCCTGTATTTTGAACGAGTACTTAAATGTAACTGTGCTAAACTTGTTCACCATTAAATGTATTGTTTTCTATTTTAAGTAACTACACATTTTATTAACAATGAATTTGAGTCGGTTTTATTTGTACTCTTAAAAGTAGCTGGAAATCTGGACGTCCGGGGGAGGGGGTGGTTCTGAAAATTCGGACAGGTAGGGGGGTGGTCTGAGAATCTGCGATTTTGGCGGAGGTCCTAAGTACAGTAGATGGCCCCTTATGAACGCTAGATGACCGAACAAAGCTTTGGTATTATCCGTTTAAAACAGAAAATCGTCTTAAATAGAATTTGGTAAACCTGGGGACCGGGCCTTAGGCTTTTGTGTACAGAAACACACAAAATTGAAGATTGAAGATATGGTGGAATGACAGTCTGACTGGCTGAGCGGTGTGATGTATTACTGTATTATAATGTCTGTTAGCGGATCAATATAATTATGAATACGCGAGCAGATAGCAGGGGTCGTTATTACCTATCACGTAATCAGCCGTGGGGGAGGGGGTTTCCAAATGATTACGCTAGTGTAATTTAGATATTATTAATTTGTTACCATGAAAACAATTAAATCTAATAATTTATATTTATAAAGATCTAGATATAGCACAAATATTATCTGAGATCAAAAAACATTAAATTAGGGGTCGTTCACATATTACGTAATCAGTAGAGGGGGGAGGGGGGTTTCCAAATGATTACGCTTATAGTGCGATTTTGACACAATAGCTATGTGTGAAATTGATTACGGAGGGGGAGGGGTTAAAAATTGGCCAAAAAATGATTACGTAATATGTGAACGGCCGCGTGAGCTGAGGTCAGCTTTTTAACCCACTAATCATGACTACTTTTCTCAGCGCTATTTTTATTCTAAAAAGATCTTAGCGGTTCTAAATTAATCGGCACACCTTTAACTAGCAAACCGGCCGTTCACCGTTGGGCAAACATATGCACTTGCAGTTGATAATATTAATCTGGATAAGAGTGAATAATCTGGATAGGAGTCATGGATATGATTGGATAATAATGAATCTTAATGTTTGTTTCAATGTTTGTGAGGCACCCACTCTACCTCTGTTTCTAACGTATACGGTTCATCGTTTAATGAATCGTAATGGATCGTTAGAAAGAATACTTATGCCAAAAGCCACTACATAGGTACGTGCGCACCTGTTGTACCAGTAATTCTTCTTACATTTTACAACCTAACGTAAAAAATAATGATCTGAGATAACACTTTTACTTTGGTGTTCATTACATGATCTGTCCAAACTCCAATCAGAAGTATTCTCTGCCCCTAGCTCTTTGAACTGAATAGCGATAGTATGTAGTACTTTTGCGATAGTTAGACGGGATTCTGCTAGTTAAAATAAACGCTGATACATGTAAGGAAGTAAGTCAATTTACCAAATTTATCGTTAGAGTTACAGATTTAGCAGATTTAGCAGATTTAGCAGATGCAATGCTTGATGCTTGCGTTAGGATAGGGTTGGGATCAGATTAGGAGGGTAAGGTTTTGAATTGTTCGTCTATACAAAACGTTTTAAAGTAAATCACGTGATTGTCCTGTATAAAATGATTAATCATCATCTCCTCGTGAAGCTGTTTTTTCTTCTCTTCTTTAAATATTAGATAATAGACCTTGTCCCAGGAAAAAGCATTCCTGATAGATCCTTTTGTATATTGGTGCGTGGTTATATAATTTCAAACGTCCAACCATCTCTCATCCCCACCTTAAGCTTAGTTTGGTATTGTTAACCACTTCCGTTTTGTATTGTCTTAAAACGCACCGCTCTATAATATCAACAATAGGAATTTTTCCGACCGTCACTCCATATATATATCCTTTTGATAACGGAACAATTTATTCCTCAAATGATAATGTAAAGTTTAACTTGGAACCTCTTTTGAATCTGTTGTTAATGTTTCTAAAAAGAGTGAAGCATTGTTAGGCTTCCCTAACATCTAATGATGAAGACATAAGTAATTTTTATTGGAGAGGCAATTGCAGTTGTCAGTTTATGTTGTTGGTTTGAGTTAGTGAAAGGATGTTTAAAAGTAAACGACTCTCAGTTGCAGAAAACACTGGACAATCGCCCCACAGTCTCAGATTCGTTTCTAATATCCGTCTGGGATCTGACAGTATTACTTGGGACGATGGCCCAACATGTCTTGATGCTGATGTATCAACTTCAAGTGGAGCAAAACATAGTGTCATGGTTAACGGCAGCTCGGCCAAGGCCCGATGGCGCAGATTGAGTGTAAAAGAGAAGAAAAGGGGCCGCTATTCTTTTGCAGACGTCGTTGTCAAAGTACAACGCCGGATGGTAAGTAATACTTGTAAGTAGTACTAATAGTACTGGTTAGTGGTTACTGGCAGTATAAATAACGGCTGAAATTCTTAATTTTCACTGTATCACGGTATTATAAAAAATCGACATCACAGATTCGGATACAAATTAACAAGGATTTGGAATGTTCCTTTTAAAATCGTTGGTTTGTCTTCCTCAGCACTCAGAATTCTCAATTATTTTCTTCAGCTTCATATTGTTTTTAACCATAAATATTTAATCTATATGAATATCTTCTTCAAACATGATTTTCAGTGTAAATTTGCAGCAGACTGCAGAGATTCATAAAATACGTATTTTCCATATTTTTATTTTTTCAAAACATCCTGTCCCTATAAGAAATATTTGTAAAACAGAAAATTTGAATTTAAAATACTGTTCTCACGGGTCAAAAAAGGTTAACGAATAGTTGCACAACGTTGAGCACGGATGACGAATACAAAAAGCATCGAGCTGAATCAAATTAGAAGTTCCACGGCAGGTAAAAGATAGAACGTCATGGTAACTGAATTTCATGTTTTGTTCTAGAAGAACTATTTAGTCAGTAGACCAGAACCACGTTCAAGTAATCCGATTTATTGACAACGTGTTGCAGCCTTTATTTACTATTTATTCTAATTGTATTTAGAATATATAAATTGTCACCCGCACAACTGTTGTGTTTCAGTCTAATGTATAATGAAAATTTCCTCCTTTAAGTAGTTTTATTGGTATTTTTACCGCCGGCCGGCTTCTCCCTCTCCCGCTCCTACGTTTACTGCTGATATTATTGTACTGTTGGTGGTAAAGAGTTTTGCAAGATGGTGCAGACCCAGCTGAGCAGGGTTCTCCAGAGTGGAGCTTACAGAATAACAGCCTTCTCTTCTGACAACAAGGTACAACTACATGGTTACTGATGTAATCATGGTTAACTACAACGGTACCCCCGCTATGCCAGGGGGGGGGGGGCATTTTCCGGATTTTAGGTATTTAAAAATGATTTTTATATTATCCTCGTCCAATTGAACGTTCGCAATTTTGGGGGTACGAACTGCTCTTAGGGGGGGGGGGGGGGGGGGGGGGGGCAAAAAGAAAGTTATCCTGTACTGACCAGGGTCACCAACAGAAATAGGATATAAATTAAATGGAGGTGCGGCTAAAGGCAATAATGGATGCATCCCAATATAAAAGTATATACATTTCACAAGATTAAATCACCGATAAAAACGCTGTGGAACAAATAACAAATTTCCTCCTATCCCACGGTAACTCGCATTGTTTTCCGTCTATTGATTAGTTTTAGCCATTTTGTTCGCAACTAAATGATGTTTTTTACAAGATGCTGCTATTACTACTTTTGGTTATTATATAGAGAGAGTTTTTATGAACGAGCATTGTAGTTGGGTATGTATAGGAAGAGTTGTTATGAAGGAGCATTGTAGTTATAGTGAGAGTCCACTATACATTAGGCCAGTATGAATACCAGTAAAGTGAGTAGTTCCCCTA